ATTAAATCCCCAAACCCCCCACCCCCACGCACTCCCCAAACGAACTTTGTTTTTTTTTGTTTTTTCACTTCGGGAGCGTAGCCCCCAGCATGCACACCCCTCACTTGCCTGATCCCAACCCGGGAAGGCCCCCGAAATGGCTCGTACGGCCCGTACGTACAGTGCTATGCGCTGTACGGACCGCCCGTATTCGTACGGGGTGCAACACAGGAGTGGAGTAGAGTAAAGTGGAGTAAAGTTAAGAAAAGTAGAGTGGAGTTGAGTAGAGTAGAGTGGAGTGGAGTAGAGTGGAGTGAAGGAGATTGTAGGCGAGTGGAGTGGAGGCGAGTGAAGTAGAGTAGAGCAAAATGGAGTAGAGTAAGGTAGAGTGGAGTAGAGTAGAGCAAAGTGAAGGAGTGTAGGGCAGAGCAAAGAAGATCAGAGGAAAGCAGAGCAGAATAGTGTAGAGCAAAGCATAGCAGAGAAGAGCAGAGCAAGGTAGGGCAGAGCACGAAAGCATAGAGTACGGCCTCATACTGTCTGTGAAACCGCGCGTTCATTAAACACGGGTTTTCCGTTCAGAAATTGAACGGAATGCACGCACGTTCAATGAACGGGACCGAACGCGGAGTTCAATTCCGCGCAGGAAAAAAAAAAAAAAAAAAAAAAAAAACCCCTCAAAAAATTCCAAAAAAAAAAATGTTATGAAGAAAAATAAAATAAACAACATTTGCCTGAGCATTACATCTAAATTCGTTACCAAATTGGAAAAAACAAATAGAAAACAGAAAATAAAAAAAAGTAAAAAAAGAATTGAAATTAGTGAGCGAACACGATTTGACACCACCATCTTTGGCGATTTTTCATTTTTTTTTGCCTTAGCAAAATGACTCCAAAATTGAGAGGCATATACCTCACATCATACAGAACTCATAAAAAAACAATCAGAAAAAAAAAATAAAAAAATTAGACATTAAAATAAGTTTTAAAAAATAATAATAATAATAATAATTGAACGCTGTTCAATTTTGAACACGAACGTGCAATCCGCGTTCAAACGCACATTTGAACGCGAAAGCACATTCACGACGTTCAAACGGTTACACAGCATACTGTAAAGAAAAGTAGGGAAGAGAAGCGTAGGGAAGAGAAGACCAGGGAAACATAGAGTAGAGAAGCATTGAGTAGAGAAGAGTAGAGAAAACTGACATTTCGTTAAAGCTGACATTTTTTTCTAAATTCACGAAATTGAGCGTACAAAAAAACAACATTTTTTAGTGTTTTTTTGTACCCATGACGTCAGATGATCAGATCATTGGGTGTCGTGGCGACTCCCGATGATCTGACCATCGGATGTATTTTAACGGTACTTTACGTTGAGGTACATCAGATGGACAAAGTGAGATAACCACTTTCTCACCCGATGAGCAATGAAATATTGACTAAGTCCACTTTCGTGAATTTAGAAAAAAATGTCAGTTTTAACGAAATGTCAGTTAGAAGAGAAGTGTAGGGAAGAGAAGCGTAGGGAAGAGAAGCGTAGGGAAGAGAAGCGTAGGGAAGAGAAGAGTAGAGAAGAGTAGAGTAGAGAGGAGCAAGGAAGCGTAGAGAAGAGTAGAGTAGAGAGAAGAGTAGAGTAAAGTAGAGTAGAGTCGAGTGGAGTAGAGTGGAGTGGAGTAGAGCCGAGTCAAGTGGTGTAGAGTGGAGTGGAGTGGAGTGGAATGGAAAAGAGTGACGAGTAGAGTCGAGTCGAGTGGAGTAAAGTGGAGTGGAGTGGAGTGGAGTAGAGTGGAGTAGAATGGAGTGGAGAAAAGTGGCGTGAAGTGGAGTTCAGTGAAGTGGAGTGGAGTGGAGTGGAGTAGTGTGTAAAAGAGTGGCATGGAGCAGAGAGGAGTGGAGGAAAGTAGAGTAGAATGAAGTAGAGTAGAGTAGAATGAAGTGGAGTAGAGTGGATTATAGTGGAGTAAAGTAGAGTGGAGTGGAGTAGGGAAGCGTAGAGTAGAGTACAGTAGAGTGAAGCAGAGTAGGAAAGCATAAACTAGAAAAGAGTAGGGAAGAGAAGCTTAGGGAAGAAAATAGTAGAAAAAAGTAAAGTCGAAAAGAGTAGGGAAGCATAGAGTATTGTAGAGTAAAGTAGAGCAGAGTAAGTTGAGTATCCTACTATAGAGTAGAGTAGGGAAAATAAGAGTAAAAAATAGTAGAGTCGAGAAGAGTAGGGAAGCGTAAAGTATCGTAGAGTAAAGTAAAGTAGAGTAGAGTAGAGTAGAGTATCTTAAAAAAAAGTAGAGTAGGTTAGAGTAGAGTATAGTAGAATCGAGTAAAATATAGTAGAGTAGAGTGAGTAGCATAAAATACGGTAGAGTAGAGATTGGTAGAGTAGAGATTAGTAGAGAACAGTAAAGTAAAGTAAARC